TTTTTTGGCTTTTTCCTTGCCATTTCAAAGGGCTTTTTGGAAAAAAATAAAAAATGAAGAGTGCTAAAATGCAGAGTGAGCCAGTTCCACGGGTGTGTTTGCCTGCGTGAGGTATGGTACTGTGATGGTTTTATAGCAGCATGGGTGAGCTGTTCCTGGATCTCGTCTAGTTGTGATGGCACTGGTGTTCGTGAAGTGAGATGGGTCAAAGAGCTGCTCTAGCTGAAACTTGCCTAGGCAAAAAATGATGAATTTTCAGCAAGTCGTAGCCTTGATCCATCTCAGTGCATGAATAATAGGAGGTAGTGGGAAGCACCAACTAGGAATAAGGAGAAACAAATCAGCCTCGAATGCAGTAGTTTATCGCAGTAAAGGTTTAAAGTGACCGTAAAGCCATCAGAAGGCTTTGCGTGCAGCTTGGCTTTATGCTGGAAACAGATCTAAATAGGCGTGTTGCCTTTTTCTGTCTCTCAATTATACCCCATGCAGTAGGATCCCAGCTGAGTTAGGAGTTCTGTTTGCTATTGCTGGGAGGAAAAGCATATTTAATGAAACCGGTGGAGTCAACAGCCTGTGACGTGAAACCCTGGAAAATCTCACCACTGGCTGCCCTCTTCACTGACAGTTTCCCCCGTGCTGTGTCTGCTGCTGTGGAACAGGTGGGCATGGGGCTGCTGAAATGCTTGAACTTGTTTTGCTGCTTTTAACACCCTCGAGCAACTGTAGTCTTGAAGAGGACGTTGCCAAAACCTGCGGTTCTGTTTGTGTTATTTAGAATGTAAATACTCAGATTTACCTTAGAGCAGCTGCCAGTACCTGAAGGGACATACAGGAAGGATGGAGAGGGACTTTTCACAAGGGGGTGCAGTGATAGGACAAGGGGGAACGGCTTTAAGCTAAAAGAAGGCAGATTTAGGTTAGATATTAGGAAGAAATTCTTCCCCATGAGAGGGTGGTGAGGCCCTGGCCCAGGCTGCCCAGAGAAGCTGTGGCTGCCCCCTCCCTGGCAGGGTTCAAGGCCGGGTTGGATGGAGCTCTGAGCACCCTGGGCTGGTGGGAGATGTCCCTGCTCATGGCAGGAGGGTTGGAACCAGATGAGCTTTAAGGTCCCTTCCAACCCAAACTGTTCTAGGATTCTGTTCTACTATACTAGCTAAAATGGTGTCTTTGTTATCAAGGGTATTGCAGGGAGAATTACCTCACTCATTTCATGCTTCTGCTTTAGCATAATGGCTTCAAACCTTGATTTGTGTAACTAGAAACCTGCTTAAAAAAGGTTTGGTTTGTGTTAATGGCATGGTTAAGTAAGTTTTGTATTGCGAATAAAATAATATTCTCCTTTTTTAAAGGAATCAGGTTGATACTGAATCACCTGAGAAATGGCTGCACGCCTCAGATCGGTAAGTTGAGGACTTATATGATGCTTTATCAAGATTTGTCTTGCAGAAATGTATTTTCATAGATACTTCTTCTGAACATTTCCAGAGAACCCATGAGACTGTTTCCACCTCAATGCCTACCCCAGAGATATTGCTGGGGGAAATGTGATTTACCAAGGAATAGTTTGCTGCTGTTACAGTTCCCAAGAGACCCAAGAATGCTCCGACCCCCCAGGAACATCAGTGGCTTTGTCAGCGCTGCCAAGTCAGTTGGTCTGGAGATTTAGTTGCTCCAGGATCATTTTTACATGCCTTTAAACGTTATTCCATGTTGTAGTGCAGGTAGGAGCCCAGCTGCGGTCCCTGAGATGGCTAGACTGCTGTGACCTCTTTGTATGGTTACTGCATTGAATGCTGGAGGTTGGAATATAGAAAGAGTAACATTTTGCTTAGCTCACGTTGGTGTTTGGACATTACTCTGGGGAGTACAATTTATTAAGCTGTTCTGTTGCGATACCTATGTTCTTGTTTATGGAGAGATTTCTACCTTCTGAACTATTTTCTCACTAATTCATGTGAAGCTTATGGAAGACCAGTGAATGTCAGATATTTAGGAAATAAAGAAACAAAAACCCCAGTGTAGCGCAGTGGTAGAGAGCGTGAACAAGCTGTTGTATCCTCACAGCACAACACTAGATAGGTGATAATTCATATCCTAAAATCAATATAATCTTGCATAGCCTGGCTTTCTACCTGCATTTTTTTAAAACAACTAATTAATCCAGGTGCAGCACTGTCAGCTGCAGTTACACTGATTCTGGTCATTGAGTTGCTTCGTTTAGAACTTTCCCAGGAGGTGTGTGTACTAGATTGTATTGCATATTGTACATATGCACTAAAGATTAGTTAAATCTGCTTCTCATCAGCAGATAGAACACTGTCCTTGCACTTGGGCGAGTGGAAAACTATCATACATAAAAACCTGGACTGTCTTATCTGTACTGTTAGAAAATAATTCTGCTCTTCAGAGCCAGACAGAGGGCGTCGCTCTGCTGCTGCAGAACTTTGGTTCAGCACATCGGGGCGCAGCGAGCAGTTTCGGTGCTCACGTGTTGTGAAGGACTGAGAAAGGGGTACAGGGGGAGGCAGGCAGAAACGTCAATGGGATGGCATGACTGCCCTTTGAGGAGAAGCTGAAAAGGCTAGACCCCTCCTCAGGGAGAGGGGAGGGGTGCGACCGAGTTTGGAGAATCGGGAAGCTGACGAGTAAAGCAAATGCAGACCTGCTGTGGTGGGGGAGTGCAAGGAGAGTGAACTGCAGAGACTCCTTAGACTCATGTATTCTTTCTGTGTCGTCTGTTCTCTTGCAGCTGTCAAAACCAAATAGACCACTGGGCCAAGCCAGTAGAACTTTTTAAAATTGTTTTAATCAGACTGCACATTGTGTGCACCGTTCCAAGTAACTGGTTGTGCTTTAATATAACTGAGTGACTGCAGTGAACTCTTTTGATTTCTGTTGTGGATAATTGATGCTTTGCAGTACAACCTTTGTTTAA